CATACATGGTGAAAGGGAAATGCAGACGAGACCTGTTACCCCAATTCACAGTGCAACGTGAAACTCGTACAGAGGATTGCGGAGGCGGAATGCACCGAATGCGATGGTTTTACAGACTGCTTTGGGATGGTGGAAACGTCGCTTATCATGACTACATGAAGACCGTGCTGACCAAAGAGGAGATCGAATCAATGATCAATCCAACCGCAACAGCTGAGTATGTCGGCGACATTTTCGAATTCTGGCTTGGAATTCTTGATCTGGGTATTCAATTCCCTACTATGTTCGCTGGATGGGGGGCAAACCTTGACAATTGCCTCGCAGGACTGGAAGAGTCGTTTTGGCTATTCAGCAGTTCATGTCGACCTACCGACACCATCAACACAAAGCGAAACCGATCCAGGAAAGCATACATTCCACCGGTCGAGAATGACATGGTGATTACAATCTTGAAAGAAGCAGGAATTTTTGACCTACTCATGCAGAAGAAGATCACCAGAATGCCGGTGCTCCCAGAAGCCAACTACGATGACCACCCTGAAATGATTGAGGTCTCATCAAGCGATGAAGAGGTGGATGAAGTTGATGAACCTGATGAGGAGACCACGACGCCTACGGCGCGGGGCCCTCGAGCAGAACAAGCTTCAGGAGAAACTGATGCCGGAGCTGGTGACATCGAGATTGAGGAGGAGGAAGATGGAATGGGGGGACAACCTTCAGAAGCGAAGAAGCGCCGAACCGAGGTGCGTGACATCCGTGATCGATTTGAGAAGCTGATTTCAGATGCATTGGATGTTCAATATTGTTTCATTTGTGGTGGAAGGCATGGCATTGACGAATGTACTACACCAGATGATGAGAACATGAAGGACACCATATGGCGCATGAGATTGATCATGGATCAGAAGTCCAAATCCCCATCATCATCCGAAAGATCCAAAGCTGCAACCAGAGGCAGAAAAGACAAGCTCCCAAAGAACGTCATGCCACGAGGAAAGCGTTGGGGAAGAACCAGATTCACTGAGAAAGAGGAAGTGACCAAGTGCTTCTACAGTCAGTCAGCCTTTATGTACGACATTGGTGATCGTGAAGAAGGAGGACAATACTTAGTGAATGGTGTCGAAGTCAACCCAATTAGCCGAGGTGTGAAGAATCGTCACGAGCTTGATATGCTGATTGAGCGTGCGGCTGAGGAATCCCCGCCTGTTTTGCCGACCATTGAGGAGCTGAACGCTTGGAAACACATTGATCATGATGTATACATGAAATGGCTTACTGAAGAAAGAAAACAACATGGAAACAACTGGAACTTCAAGTACATCCAACCATTCACACATGGCCACAACATTGGTACACTTCAACTTGCTCGCATCAATGGAGAAGAATATCTTGGGATGGGCTGGTGTAAGGTGCATCGATATGGCGAGAATGAGTGGATCCGCAACAAGTGGGAAAATCCGCAATGGATAGTCGAATTGTCGAAAAGATTCAATGCAGCGCTACGCCACTCCGCGGGTTGCGTCAAAGACAATCGAAATCACCGTGGACTACCATGCGACGAGGCAGGTTGGGTCAATGTTGAGTCGATCTTGAAGTACGATGCCATTTGGAGAGACCAACATACATTGGCTGGAACTACACATGTCAACTACCCGATACTTGTTGAGAGGTGGAACAATTTCCAGAGAGTGATCTTCACCGAGTACAAGCAAACGAAGAGAATCCGAGCCCAAGTGCTAGGACTCAAGGTCACAAAAGGTGAGTTGGAATACGTCATGAGCAATTTCAATGATGGATTGACGTCGAGACTTGATCGACAAACACTGAGGTTGGAGATCGGCACAGCAGATCGAGAGATTTGGCTTTGGCCGGTGGCAATCCGTGCCCCTATGGCGCATTCAAGAGTTCAAGGCGGTGTGCACATCGAAGACAAGAAGACTTCCTATCAGATGAACCCTGGAGTAGGATACACTCTTGGAGGAGGATTTCATTGCACCACTTTTGACAACATCGCTCAAATCTTCAGAGAAGGACTACGTCCCGGAGGAGGGGCATCAATACGTTCTTCGTGCCATTCGCACCGTGGGACGTGAGAAGTCAGACGGTGCTGAGATTCAGGAAGATCGATCAAACTGATCTTGTCTACATCTACATCACGTACGATTCCATCGCCAAGTTCTCCCCTAGATTGTCAGCAGACGGACACATTTTGGTCCAAGAAACAATTCCATTCGAATCATTCGATGCAGTTTGGTATTACGACTGGAGAGAAAAGGACTACTACCGTCTCATGATCACAAAGGGAAGAGATCAACTTGTTCTTTCTGTGCAAGGTGCAAAGAGGGTGGCCACCATTGAACGATTTGACAAGCTCATTGGAAACATTGTGCCTGAAGAATCATCACCCGATCTGGATGAACTTCGAAAACTTGTCGATATCAGGACCGGTCACTTCAGTCATACTCACAGATTGTTCCCTGGACATCCGGATTGGAATGATGCAATATCATTGATGGCAGTCACTCATCATCCCAGCAAAGAGGACCATCGACTATGCCCCGCATGTCTGATGGAGACCCCTGCACCATTATCGATTTGTGTGATGTGCAAAGGATTTTTGGTGAGTCATGGATGGAGGAAACGAATCAAGATCACCGTGGCTACAGTACCAAGTGCCGAATCACATCATCGAGAAGAAGATCTCAAAGACCATGTCAAGAAAGCATGGGAGGAAGTGAAGATCGATTTGACAGGTGATGATGATGACGACGAGGTGATGCCAGATGATGATGATGTCACCATGAAGAGTCCAGAACAAGAAACTCAACCAGAAGAAGGAGATGATGATCAGGCCTCGAAGAAGGGCGACATCAATGATGAGAAAAGAGACTTCAGAGAACAAGATGAGGTCGACAAATTTCTCAATCAAGATGAGAAAAGAGACTTCAGAGATAGCGGTCGATGAAATCAACATTGAAGAGTACGAGGCTGGAGAAGCTCGTGATGCAGTGATTGAGTATCCCAAATGGATGCAGCGGATTGAGTTTGGATCAAAGGTCCTACCAATCGAACCTTGCACAATTGGAGATGCTCAGCCAGAATTCATCAAGATCCTCCTGTTGCAGATTGGACTACATATCGTCAGAATCTACAGACTATTCCAACGGAACTTCTGTGGAGACATCGAGACGGCATGGAAACATTTTCAACAGAACCAGAAATTCAGGATGGACCTGGGCTCAAGAACACCTTACCTGGGCGAGGATGAAAATGGTGAACTCATTGAGCCAACTGCACAACAGATGAAAGAGCTCTACAAAGAGATCGGCCGACCAAATCAAAAGGACGACATCGGAGAAGAGGGATTCGTCAATGCATACTATGGGGCAGTGGTACTCAAAAGACTTCTCACATACACCCTTGAATGTGGCTACACATATGATGAATTGCAAAATATCTTCTTTGATGAGGAGATGGAGAAGCTGTCGAAGCGTGACACAACAATGGATGAGATGAGAAAGACCACAGCGGCCCGCGACGCCCTTGACCGACAGGATGTCATGGTCAGAAGAATCATTGCAGGTGCATATAGGGTAAATGCTGTTTATTTCTTCAGGAACGTTGACTTTCAAGACACAATCACGCTGAACCCAGTCGACATTGTGTGTGCTCTTCGTCCACCACTTCGAAGAATATCACTTTTACACCTGATCCTTCAGAATGGCCGACAATTGCCACGACCTCTACTCCAAAAGCTGTATGATGCGATCGATGACTACAATCACATTAAGCAACGGGAAGATCAACGACCAAGGTGGGGCATCCACTTGTCTGAAGCTCACATACTTGCGATTGCTGATACCCCGACTCCTGCTGATCGTGAACGTGCTAATCCAGCCGCTGGCAAGTCGAAAGCAGCCCCGAAGGCTGCACCAGCACTGGGAAGAGTGTCGAAAGCGAAAGCATCATCGTCAGCAACATGGAGAACAGTTGAAACCGCTCCTCCGCCAAAACAAGCTCCAGTGACCCCGCCAAAGAAGGGTGGAAAAGACCAAGGAAAAGGTGGAAAATCTTATTCACACCGTGGCGGAGACTGGAACCAACAGGGATACTATGGATGGGGATATAGATGATTAAGCGATCTGACCTCTGCATAGGTCCTGATTGAACCTGGCGATGCGAGGATGCAATCATTGCTCGAGATTTACCTCTACTTCATTTTGAATGATTTCTGAGAGGACTCTGAGCCGGCTAATTTAGGACCACACATTTTTTTTATTTGAACATCATTGCATGATACGCTGAGTTTCTACAGCGGTCTACATCTCAACCGACGAAGGAACGGGAAGGTAAACTTCTAGTTCCATAGTCGAATTTGTATTTTGATTTCTTTAATTCACATGCTTGAGTGAGACTCCATGCTGGCTACGCCACATTGGATGAACCTCAATGCTAGACACCGACTACGTCGTGTCTACATGCACGTGAACAGAACCTTTATCTTTTGGTAGAGATTGTAGCAAGCCGCCATGTAGATATGAAGTTCTGAATGGACTTTAGCTCTCCGTAATTCAATAAATGAACAGCTGCGAGTGTAGTGGATCAATTTAAAGGACACTCCTTTGCGCGTAGCCAACAAAGTTGGCTATGCGTGGGGGGTGCGAATAGAGTGTAGGCTACGGATCACTGTATATTTGCACAATCATGCACTCTAATATCCAGCACCAAAGGGGCGTTCCATGACTGGCCTCTTTGGCTCAAGACCCACTGCAGCACTGGAGAAAAGAACAGCAATGCGGAAGCAGCTGCCCTTGTAACGTCGTCACTGGAACATTTATCCTCAACATCAACCACCGGAACATAATCGGGCGGGCAATCCCCGATTCGCATATACATTATATATATATATATTATAAATTATATCTATAATATATATATATAGTTATAATGTATAAATATATATATTTGCAAAAAAAAAGTATCGAAGTTGGTTCCGAAAGGTTGGATGAACTTGAAGAGTGGCTGCGACACTGGGATAGAGCATCTTGGACCGCAATAGGGATGTTGGGCAATCTGCAACTTGGAAAACTGATGTTGTTTATCCGTGGTTATGTGTTTGTGAGTCTTTTTGAATAAATTGTACAAGAACAAGTTGGACTTTCAAAGCTGTTCGATTCAGCAATGGCCAGGAACGCCGCGGTGAGCTGGACAAGGGTCAAGTCTTGCGAGCTCTTTGTGAGGTGTTCCGATATGTTCCGATACACAGCTGTGATTTGAGATTTCTTGCGATCAGATTGGGGGTTTATCGGTGTTTTTCATTCAACACATAGCCGCCACTTTGTCAATTTTGTTTCTTTCATCGCTTCAGGTGACCAAAACCTCATCGTTGGAAATTGAGTTCTTGCCTCAGAAACAAAATGAACAAAGTATAACAAAGTACTCCGTAGAATTTCTACAATTTGTACATTGAAATTGTCACCCTAAAGCTCTGCTGTCCAAGTCTCCACCTTGAGGCGCATCAAAAAAATGAAGGAAGGTATTTCTGCTGTTTGGAAGAAGCCATTGCCTTGGGGTTACCGGGACTATCCGGGACTTCAAATTTCTGTGTTTTGGAATTCATCATGTTCCTCCACTTGAGCATGCGCACTTGCCTTGGTGTTACCGTGTTACACCAAGAACCAAGGAACCATTTGAAAGGTGGCCTCACTCGACAGCTTTGCCGACAAAAACCACAATTGGGGAAGGAGTTCCAACAAGTGGTAGACGAGGCCGTGCAAAAATGCAAATGCGATTATATGATGTAAAAATATCTACACTATCTACACTATCTACAAATATTTACAATGTTTCAACAAGAAATGATCCCTTCACTTGAGACAATGAACTGCCTTTCAGTTGGAAGTCTGTGGCGCTCGGATTTCAATGTTTAGTTGCGATATGTTGCGATGTTTGACCATGGAAGTCAAAATATGTCAAAATCGACAGGTCTTAAAGGGCTAGCATTACGACCCGCGAACGATGCGAACGCCTCCAACTGCAACGTCCAGCACCTCGCTGGATGCCCAGTCTAAAACTTCAAAAAGTGTCAGTGTGTCCCCAAACATAGGATGATTTCCCATGATTTCCCACTGGAATCAAGCAATTTTCTCATATTTTCTCATTTATTGGGTTCCCTAAGTTTGGGACATGCCGTGCCCAATTCTTCATCTCCAATTGTGGTTCATCATGGTTCATCTCAGCTGCCAAGGTTCCTCAACGAGAAACTGGGCCTCCAGCACCACGCGTACGGGGCTGTGCCATGCTGTGCCCAGCGGTGCCCAGCTTCATCGCCTCCCAGGCTATCACCAGACAGCAGCCGCATCAAACTTCACGTCGACCAGTGGGACCAGTGGGACCAGTGTTACCAGTGTTTGAAACGGTGAAATATGGTGAAATTGAATCCAATTCTTGGGTATCAAAAATACCAGTAAAATCAATTCTTGGGTATCAAAATTTTACTGCTCCACAGGATCGGCGTCCATGGCGTCCATGTTACACTGTATGTGTCCCTGCTTGGAGGCTGGATATGGCTGGATCTTACATGTGCGCCCATCATCCGGGCTTCAACCGTGCCACCTGGGGAAAGCCCTGGGCTCGTAGCCGCTGGGATAGCAAGATCCATGCTTTGGGAGTCTGACCTGCTGTATCACAGGCAGAGGGTGCTAAATGCAAAGATCTCACCATTGCAGGTTCACCAATTGAGCGGATTCCAAGAACGTGTGCGGTGCTTTGATACAGGGAGACTCCTTTGCCTCTCTCAAAGGCCTTTGAGACCAGAAATGGTTCAGACGCATTTCAAAGTCTATTTGATTTCTTCTGTATGCGCTCCTGAAAACGTCTTGCAGACAAAAAGAGAGAGAAAGAGAGTGGCCAAGAAAGTTTTTGTCCAGATCAGCAGTATGAGTGTTTCGGAATTCTTAGTACCAAGTTGCTCAAGGGCAGGAAGTGCACAATTCTGCTATCATGTGTTGTGAATCCACCAAAGCCACCCTTGTCCACTATGAAAAGTAGTGTTTGGCTCAAAACCCGGGTGAAAGTGCTCCTGTTTACCTTTGAAGGCCGGTGTTGAGCAAAGGCGACAAATCCACCAGAATCATTTTATTTTCCAAAAAGTCTGCGGGCAAGTTGACTTTGTGCGTGTCCTGCTCGCCTACCACAGGTTATGGCTCGCTTTTGCCAGGCCTGATCTTTCCGCTGGCCAAATGGTCTGAGCAGGCAATACCTGTGCAATACATAATTGGGATGCCTTTTGCGCAGGTATTTGCACATCTTTATGCGGCAATTTATGCGTTCATCGCCTGGATGTTTGAAACGATTCGGTGCAGAGTTGACCACAAGGAGGCTTGGGTTGGTGGGTTGCCTTTTTTCCTTGAAGCAACGAGCCACGCAATCTTGGGGCGTCCAAAAGCTGTGTCAGGCTGAAACGGATGCTGCGGAGTGTGAGGCCGCGACTGAGGCCAGACAAATGGGGCTCTTCATGGTTGTGACGGGGTTTTCCTGCAACAATACATACTGTACTGTATAAAGTATCAAACTAAGAGTGAATAGGTGCAGGCTGGCCAACAAGAACGACAAACCCAGAATCGGTTTCATTGTTCAACAACATGCAACACGTATCCGCCAACATTGAACACAGGAACCAGCAAGAGACAACAACAACCAGCGAGGGAAATCACAAGAACCATCAACCAATCCGACAAGAGACCCAAAAACAGAATCACACAGTCAAGACCAGTTGCATACAACATGATCAAGCATGCAGCAAAGTCAATTTATGTCAATTTGATCTTTTGACCGCCTTCCAGGATCTTTTGATGTCCATATCGTCGCCAGTGAGTCAGTTGGGTGAAGCAGCGGTGCTTCTCTAAACACCGTGGTGCAACCATGTTCAAGGAGCGCAGCCATGTCTGCAATCTCCGAACAAACGCCGTGGCTTGAAAAAGAAGCGGGGTGTTGCGATCAATGAACTGCAAGGTTTTTTGGCATGCGCAGGCACGCTTGATTGATTTGGAAACGGTTGACAGTTTCAGGGATTCTTCTAGTATTTTCAAGCCGGGCAGAGTCGTGGTTGTTATCCGTTTGTGTCAGCGTGGCTCAAGTGTGTCTAAGTGTGTTGCCCTGGCAATCCCTGGCAGCAAAATGACGGAGGTGCAATACGTAGGGTTCGTCCTTGAAGACTTGTTCCCCCTAGTTGGGGAGCGTGTGTGTGATCGGGTGCCGCAAGAGCACAGAGCTGCGAACTTACAGTATCATTTGAATCATTTGACTTGATGCAAGATTGTACCAGGGCATGCAATGTACTTAATGTATTAATAATGTATCTCCAGGTAGTGTTTCCAGGGTTTGGATGCTGCGGCCTGTTTTGGACGTGTCTCATCGTGTCTCATTTTTTGCTGAGGCAAGAGCCTTTTGGCAGCATGATGTTCCCCAGACGTTTGAGAATGTGCACCGGAAGGTGGATTATCGGATTGCAGCGAGTCGTAAGAACATGAAGGAATCGGGTCGAATGCATCGTAAGAATCGTTGATGTTTTTTGCAAATTAGTGAGTTGAAGCTGACGCAGGCGGCGCAACAAAGAGCTTGGGCCTGGCAATTCTGGGAGGTCTGTGTTCTCTTGCGGTCTGTGAGAATCTGTGAGATTTGGATTGGGCGGTCTGCAGGACCTTCAGGAGAGTTTTCTATGGTGTTGTCATCCATTGCTGGGAGATGAGCTTCAAGTTTGAGGTGTGGACCGCCTGGTGCTATTTTCTTGAAAGATCGCTGGGAAACTTTGAAACCAACAAGGAGAAAGGAGATCTAATATCCTAAATGATTTATTCACATTCCATCTTTTTGAAACCCCGCAAAGTCTGCTTTCTGAAGCTTTGCTGGACACCGATACAAGTACATGGATTTACCGTTGCCAGCCTCAGGCACTACAATGCAGTGGTGGCCTCAGACATGTCGCGGGAATCCATTTTCGGAATCTTCTCAACCATTCTCGACTACTTCTTCCAGCAGGGTTTCGAAAAAGTCAATCATTGATTTGAAGGACCGGCTGTTGCGTTTGATCCATGCTTCACTTGATGCCAATCTACAATCAAGCATTTTTACTGTAATTGAAGTGTCGCTGCAACTATTATTTTGTGCAAAGCCCTGACTTTCAACTGTGAAAAGATCAAAATCCAGCCTCTCCTAATGTGCTTGGGCAGGACAACATTGTAAACTGCTCCATTGACACCTTTGAGGCAGCTGGAACTGATTTGTTGCCCACTCCTTCCAAGAGTCATGACACCTTCAACTTGCGAGACATCTGGAAAGTCTCCCAGGGAATCTGCTCTTTGAAATCGAAGAAGGTCTCAGATCCTCTTGTGACACGGTGTTTCTGTCACGAAAATGTGCGGGTCATTGCGGGTCTATGGTGACCGTTTAACCACCGACGAAGATCGTGCGTGGCTGCGGAAGTTGGGTGGCCAGCTCAGTGCGACTGGGATCGACCCTGCAGTCTTCGACAGTCTGAGCGCCTCTTCGCAGATCTTCGACAAAGTTCCTCTGGAGATCGTTTTATCCGGAGGTTGACAGATGTTGACAGTATGGGTGCCATGAAGACCATTATGGAAGGCTTCTTGGATGACTACAACATGTCCGACCTGCTGTATCACAGGCAGAGGGTGCTAAATGCAAAGATCTCACCACTGCAGGTTCACCAATTGAGCGGATTCCAAGAACGTGTGCGGTGCTTTGATACAGGGAGACTCCTTTGCCTCTCTCAAAGGCCTTTGAGACCAGAAATGGTTCAGACGCATTTCAAAGTCTATTTGATTTCTTCTGTATGCGCTCCTGAAAACGTCTTGCAGACAAAAAGAGAGAGAAAGAGAGTGGCCAAGAAAGTTTTTGTCCAGATCAGCAGTATGAGTGTTTCGGAATTCTTAGTACCAAGTTGCTCAAGGGCAGGAAGTGCACAATTCTGCTATCATGTGTTGTGAATCCACCAAAGCCACCCTTGTCCACTATGAAAAGTAGTGTTTGGCTCAAAACCCGGGTGAAAGTGCTCCTGTTTACCTTTGAAGGCCGGTGTTGAGCAAAGGCGACAAATCCACCAGAATCATTTTATTTTCCAAAAAATCTGCGGGCAAGTTGACTTTGTGCGTGTCCTGCTCGCCTACCACAGGTTATGGCTCGCTTTTGCCAGGCCTGATCTTTCCGCTGGCCAGATGGTCTGAGCAGGCAATACCTGTGCAATACATAATTGGGATGCCTTTTGCGCAGGTATTTGCACATCTTTATGCGGCAATTTATGCGTTCATCGCCTGGATGTTTGAAACGATTCGGTGCAGAGTTGACCCCAAGGAGGCTTGGGTTGGTGGATTGCTTTTTTTCCTTGAAGCAACGAGCCACGCAATCTTGGGGCGTCCAAAAGCTGTGTCAGGCTGAAACGGATGCTGCGGAGTGTGAGGCCGCGACTGAGGCCAGACAAATGGGGCTCTTCATGGTTGTGACGGGGTTTTCCTGCAACAATACATACTGTACTGTATAAAGTATCAAACTAAGAGTGAATAGGTGCAGGCTGGCCAACAAGAACGACAAACCCAGAATCGGTTTCATTGTTCAACAACATGCAACACGTATCCGCCAACATTGAACACAGGAACCAGCAAGAGACAACAACAACCAGCGAGGGAAATCACAAGAACCATCAACCAATCCGACAAGAGACCCAAAAACATAATCACACAGTCAAGACCAGTTGCATACAACATGATCAAGCATGCAGCAAAGTCAATTTATGTCAATTTGATCTTTTGACCGCCTTCCAGGATCTTTTGATGTCCATATCGTCGCCAGTGAGTCAGTTGGGTGAAGCAGCGGTGCTTCTCTAAACACCGTGGTGCAACCATGTTCAAGGAGCGCAGCCATGTCTGCAATCTCCGAACAAACGCCGTGGCTTGAAAAAGAAGCGGGGTGTTGCGATCAATGAACTGCAAGGTTTTTTGGCATGCGCAGGCACGCTTGATTGATTTGGAAACGGTTGACAGTTTCAGGGATTCTTCTAGTATTTTCAAGCCGGGCAGAGTCGTGGTTGTTATCCGTTTGTGTCAGCGTGGCTCAAGTGTGTCTAAGTGTGTTGCCCTGGCAATCCCTGGCAGCAAAATGACGGAGGTGCAATACGTAGGGTTCGTCCTTGAAGACTTGTTCCCCCTAGTTGGGGAGCGTGTGTGTGATCGGGTGCCGCAAGAGCACAGAGCTGCGAACTTACAGTATCATTTGAATCATTTGACTTGATGCAAGATTGTACCAGGGCATGCAATGTACTTAATGTATTAATAATGTATCTCCAGGTAGTGTTTCCAGGGTTTGGATGCGGCCTGTTTTGGACGTGTCTCATCGTGTCTCATTTTTTGCTGAGGCAAGAGCCTTTTGGCAGCATGATGTTCCCCAGACGTTTGAGAATGTGCACCGGAAGGTGGATTATCGGATTGCAGCGAGTCGTAAGAACATGAAGGAATCGGGTCGAATGCATCGTAAGAATCGTCGATGTTTTTTTGCAAATTATTGAGTTGAAGCTGACGCAGGCGGCGCAACAAAGAGCTTGGGCCTGGCAATTCTGGGAGGTCTGTGTTCTCTTGCGGTCTGTGAGAATCTGTGAGATTTGGATTGGGCGGTCTGCAGGACCTTCAGGAGAGTTTTCTATGGTGTTGTCATCCATTGCTGGGAGATGAGCTTCAAGTTTGAGGTGTGGACCGCCTGGTGCTATTTTCTTGAAAGATCGCTGGGAAACTTTGAAACCAACAAGGAGAAAGGAGATCTAATATCCTAAATGATTTATTCACATTCCATCTTTTTGAAACCCCGCAAAGTCTGCTTTCTGAAGCTTTGCTGGACACCGATACAAGTACATGGATTTACCGTTGCCAGCCTCAGGCACTACAATGCAGTGGTGGCCTCAGACATGTCGCGGGAATCCATTTTCGGAATCTTCTCAACCATTCTCGACTACTTCTTCCAGCAGGGTTTCGAAAAAGTCAATCATTGATTTGAAGGACCGGCTGTTGCGTTTGATCCATGCTTCACTTGATGCCAATCTACAATCAAGCATTTTTACTGTAATTGAAGTGTCGCTGCAACTATTATTTTGTGCAAAGCCCTGACTTTCAACTGTGAAAAGATCAAAATCCAGCCTCTCCTAATGTGCTTGGGCAGGACAACATTGTAAACTGCTCCATTGACACCTTTGAGGCAGCTGGAACTGATTTGTTGCCCACTCCTTCCAAGAGTCATGACACCTTCAACTTGCGAGACATCTGGAAAGTCTCCCAGGGAATCTGCTCTTTGAAATCGAAGAAGGTCTCAGATCCTCTTGTGACACGGTGTTTCTGTCACGAAAATGTGCGGGTCTATGGCAGTCTATGGTGACCGTTTAACCACCGACGAAGATCGTGCGTGCGTGGGAAGTTGGGTGGCCAGCTCAGTGCGACTGGGATCGACCCTACAGTCTGAGCGCCTCTTCGCAGATCTTCGACAAAGTTCCTCTGGAGATCGTTTTATCCGGAGGTTGACAGATGTTGACAGTATGGGTGCCATGAAGACCATTATGGAAGGCTTCTTGGATGACTACAACATGTCTGACCTGCTGTATCACAGGCAGAGGGTGCTAAATGCAAAGATCTCACCACTGCAGGTTCACCAATTGAGCGGATTCCAAGAACGTGTGCGGTGCTTTGATACAGGGAGACTCCTTTGCCTCTCTCAAAGGCCTTTGAGACCTAGAAATGGTTCAGACGCATTTCAAAGTCTATTTGATTTCTTCTGTATGCGCTCCTGAAAACGTCTTGCAGACAAAAAGAGAGAGAAAGAGAGTGGCCAAGAAAGTTTTTGTCCAGATCAGCAGTATGAGTGTTTCGGAATTCTTAGTACCAAGTTGCTCAAGGGGAGGAAGTGCATGTGTTGTGAATCCACCAAAGCCACCCTTGTCCACTATGAAAAGTAGTGTTTGGCTCAAAACCCGGGTGAAAGTGCTCCTGTTTACCTTTGAAGGCCGGTGTTGAGCAAAGGCGACAAATCCACCAGAATCATTTTATTTTCCAAAAAATCTGCGGGCAAGTTGACTTTGTGCGTGTCCTGCTCGCCTACCACAGGTTATGGCTCGCTTTTGCCAGGCCTGATCTTTCCGCTGGCCAAATGGTCTGAGCAGGCAATACCTGTGCAATACATAATTGGGATGCCTTTTGCGCAGGTATTTGCACATCTTTATGCGGCAATTTATGCGTTCATCGCCTGGATGTTTGAAACGATTCGGTGCAGAGTTGACCCCAAGGAGGCTTGGGTTGGTGGATTGCTTTTTTTCCTTGAAGCAACGAGCCACGCAATCTTGGGGCGTCCAAAAGCTGTGTCAGGCTGAAACGGATGCTGCGGAGTGTGAGGCCGCGACTGAGGCCAGACAAATGGGGCTCTTCATGGTTGTGACGGGGTTTTCCTGCAACAATACATACTGTACTGTATAAAGTATCAAACTAAGAGTGAATAGGTGCAGGCTGGCCAACAAGAACGACAAACCCAGAATCGGTTTCATTGTTCAACAACATGCAACACGTATCCGCCAACATTGAACACAGGAACCAGCAAGAGACAACAACAACCAGCGAGGGAAATCACAAGAACCATCAACCAATCCGACAAGAGACCCAAAAACATAATCACACAGTCAAGACCAGTTGCATACAACATGATCAAGCATGCAGCAAAGTCAATTTATGTCAATTTGATCTTTTGACCGCCTTCCAGGATTTTTTGATGTCCATATCGTCGCCAGTGAGTCAGTTGGGTGAAGCAGCGGTGCTTCTCTAAACACCGTGGTGCAACCATGTTCAAGGAGCGCAGCCATGTCTGCAATCTCCGAACAAACGCCGTGGCTTGAAAAAGAAGCGGGGTGTTGCGATCAATGAACTGCAAGGTTTTTTGGCATGCGCAGGCACGCTTGATTGATTTGGAAACGGTTGACAGTTTCAGGGATTCTTCTAGTATTTTCAAGCTGGGCAGAGTCGTGGTTGTTATCCGTTTGTGTCAGCGTGGCTCAAGCGTGTCTAAGTGTGTTGCCCTGGCAATCCCTGGCAGCAAAATGACGGAGGTGCAATACGTAGGGTGGTTCTTCGAAGTGTTCCCCCTAGTTGGGGAGCGTGTGTGTGATCGGGTGCCGCAAGAGCACAGAGCTGCGAACTTACAGTATCATTTGAATCATCTGACTTGATGCAAGATTGTACCAGGGCATGCAATGTACTTAATGTATTAATAATGTATCTCCAGGTAGTGTTTCCAGGGTTTGGATGCTGCGGCCTGTTTTGGACGTGTCTCATCGTGTCTCATTTTTTGCTGAGGCAAGAGCCTTTTGGCAGCATGATGTTCCCCAGACGTTTGAGAATGTGCACCGGAAGGTGGATTATCGGATTGCAGCGAGTCGTAAGAACATGAAGGAATCGGGTCGAATGCATCGTAAGAATCGTCGATGTTTTTTTGCAAATTATTGAGTTGAAGCTGACGCAGGCGGCGCAACAAAGAGCTTGGGCCTGGCAATTCTGGGAGGTCTGTGTTCTCTTGCGGTCTGTGAGAATCTGTGAGATTTGGATTGGGCGGTCTGCAGGACCTTCAGGAGAGTTTTCTATGGTGTTGTCATCCATTGCTGGGAGATGAGCTTCAAGTTTGAGGTGTGGACCGCCTGGTGCTATTTTCTTGAAAGATCGCTGGGAAACTTTGAAACCAACAAGGAGAAAGGAGATCTAATATCCTAAATGATTTATTTTGTGTTTGTCTTAAAACACACTTTCCATCTTTTTGAAACCCCGCAAAGTCTGCTTTCTGAAGCTTTGCTGGACACCGATACAAGTACATGGATTTACCGTTACCAGCCTCAGGCACTACAATGCAGTGGTGGCCTCAGACATGTCGCGGGAATCCATTTTCGGAATCTTCTCAACCGTTCTCGACTACTTCTTCCAGCAGGGTTTCGAAAAAGTCAATCATTGATTTGAAGGACCGGCTGTTGCGTTTGATCCATGCTTCACTTGATGCCAATCTACAATCAAGCATTTTTGCTGTAATTGAAGTGTCGCTGCAACTATTATTTTGTGCAAAAGCCCTGACTTTCAACTGTGAAAAGATCAAAATCCAGCCTCTCCTAATGTGCTTGGGCAGGACAACATTGTAAACTGCTCCATTGACACCTTTGAGGCAGCTGGAACTGATTTGTTGCCCACTCCTTCCAAGAGTCATGACACCTTCAACTTGCGAGACATCTGGAAAGTCTCCCAGGGAATCTGCTCTTTGAAATCGAAGAAGGTCTCAGATCCTCTTGTGACACGGTGTTTCTGTCACGAAAATGTGCGGGTCATTGCGGGTCTATGGTGACCGTTTAACCACCGACGAAGATCGTGCGTGGCTGCGGAAGTTGGGTGGCCAGCTCAGTGCGACTGGGATCGACCCTACAGTCTTCGACAGTCTGAGCGCCTCTTCGCAGATCTTCGACAAAGTTCCTCTGGAGATCGTTTTATCCGGAGGTTGACAGATGTTGACAGTATGGGTGCCATGAAGACCATTATGGAAGGCTTCTTGGATGACTACAACATGTCCGACCTGCTGTATCACAGGCAGAGGGTGCTAAATGCAAAGATCTCACCACTGCAGGTTCACCAATTGAGCGGATTCCAAGAACGTGTGCGGTGCTTTGATACAGGGAGACTCCTTTGCCTCTCTCAAAGGCCTTTGAGACCAGAAATGGTTCAGACGCATTTCAAAGTCTATTTGATTTCTTCTGTATGCGCTCCTGAAAACGTCTTGCAGACAAAAAGAGAGAGAAAGAGAGTGGCCAAGAAAGTTTTTGTCCAGATCAGCAGTATGAGTGTTTCGGAATTCTTAGTACCAAGTTGCTCAAGGGCAGGAAGTGCACAATTCTGCTATCATGTGTTGTGAATCCACCAAAGCCACCCTTGTCCACTATGAAAAGTAGTGTTTGGCTCAAAACCCGGGTGAAAGTGCTCCTGTTTACCTTTGAAGGCCGGTGTTGAGCAAAGGCGACAAATCCACCAGAATCATTTTATTTTCCAAAAAATCTGCGGGCAAGTTGACTTTGTGCGTGTCCTGCTCGCCTACCACAGGTTATGGCTCGCTTTTGCCAGGCCTGATCTTTCCGCTGGCCAGATGGTCTGAGCAGGCAATACCTGTGCAATACATAATTGGGATGCCTTTTGCGCAGGTATTTGCAGATCTTTATGCGGCAATTTATGCGTTCATCGCCTGGATGTTTGAAACGATTCGGTGCAGAGTTGACCCCAAGGAGGCTTGGGTTGGTGGATTGTTTTTTTTCGTTGAAGCAACGAGCCACGCAATCTTGGGGCGTCCAAAAGCTGTGTCAGGCTGAAACGGATGCTGCGGAGTGTGAGGCCGCGACTGAGGCCAGACAAATGGGGCTCTTCATGGTTGTGACGGGGTTTTCCTGCAACAATACATACTGTACTGTATAAAGTATCAAACTAAGAGTGAATAGGTGCAGGCTGGCAACAAGAACGACAAACCCAGAATCGGTTTCATTGTTCAACAACATGCAACACGTATCCGCCAACATTGAACACAGGAACCAGCAAGAGACAACAACAACCAGCGAGGGAAATCACAAGAACCATCAACCAATCCGACAAGAGACCCAAAAACATAATCACACAGTCAAGACCAGTTGCATACAACATGATCAAGCATGCAGCAAAGTCAATTTATGTCAATTTGATCTTTTGACCGCCTTCCAGGATTTTTTGATGTCCATATCGTCGCCAGTGAGTCAGTTGGGTGAAGCAGCGGTGCTTCTCTAAACACCGTGGTGCAACCATGTTCAAGGAGCGCAGCCATGTCTGCAATCTCCGAACAAACGCCGTGGCTTGAAAAAGAAGCGGGGTGTTGCGATCAATGAACTGCAAGGTTTTTTGGCATGCGCAGGCACGCTTGATTGATTTGGAAACGGTTGACAGTTTCAGGGATTCTTCTAGTATTTTCAAGCCGGGCAGAGTCGTGGTTGTTATCCGTTTGTGTCAGCGTGGCTCAAGCGTGTCTAAGTGTGTTGCCCTGGCAATCCCTGGCAGCAAAATGACGGAGGTGCAATACGTAGGGTGGTTCTTCGAAGTGTTCCCCCTAGTTGGGGAGCGTGTGTGTGATCGGGTGCCGCAAGAGCACAGAGCTGCGAACTTACAGTATCATTTGAATCATTTGACAACTTGATGCAAGATTGTACCAGGGCATGCAATGTACTTAATGTATTAATAATGTATCTCCAGGTAGTGTTTCCAGGGTTTGGATGCGGCCTGTTTTGGACGTGTCTCATCGTGTCTCATTTTTTGCTGAGGCAAGAGCCTTTTGGCAGCATGATGTTCCCCAGACGTTTGAGAATGTGCACCGGAAGGTGGATTATCGGATTGCAGCGAGTCGTAAGAACATGAAGGAATCGGAAGGAATCGGGTCGAATGCATCGTAAGAATCGTCGATGTTTTTTTGCAAATTATTGAGTTGAAGCTGACGCAGGCGGCGCAACAAAGAGCTTGGGCCTGGCAATTCTGGGAGGTCTGTGTTCTCTTGCGGTCTGTGAGAATCTGTGAGATTTGGATTGGGCGGTCTGCAGGACCTTCAGGAGAGTTTTCTATGGTGTTGTCATCCATTGCTGGGAGATGAGCTTCAAGTTTGAGGTGTGGACCGCCTGGTGCTATTTTCTTGAAAGATCGCTGGGAAACTTTGAAACCAACAAGGAGAAAGGAGATCTAATATCCTAAATGATTTATTTTGTGTTTGTCTTAAAACACACTTTCCATCTTTTTGAAACCCCGCAAAGTCTGCTTTCTGAAGCTTTGCTGGACACCGATACAAGTACATGGATTTACCGTTACCAGCCTCAGGCACTACAATGCAGTGGTGGCCTCAGACATGTCGCGGGAATCCATTTTCGGAATCTTCTCAACCATTCTCGACTACTTCTTCCAGCAGGGTTTCGAAAAAGTCAATCATTGATTTGAAGGACCGGCTGTTGCGTTTGATCCATGCTTCACTTGATGCCAATCTACAATCAAGCATTTTTACTGTAATTGAAGTGTCGCTGCAACTATTATTTTGTGCAAAGCCCTGACTTTCAACTGTGAAAAGATCAAAATCCAGCCTCTCCTAATGTGCTTGGGCAGGACAACATTGTAAACTGCTCCATTGACACCTTTGAGGCAGCTGGAACTGATTTGTTGCCCACTCCTTCCAAGAGTCATGACACCTTCAACTTGCGAGACATCTGGAAAGTCTCCCAGGGAATCTGCTCTTTGAAATCGAAGAAGGTCTCAGATCCTCTTGTGACACGGTGTTTCTGTCACGAAAATGTGCGGGTCTATGGCAGTCTATGGTGACCGTTTAACCACCGACGAAGATCGTGCGTGCGTGGGAAGTTGGGTGGCCAGCTCAGTGCGACTGGGATCGACCCTACAGTCTGAGCGCCTCTTCGCAGATCTTCGACAAAGTTCCTCTGGAGATCGTTTTATCCGGAGGTTGACAGATGTTGACAGTATGGGTGCCATGAAGACCATTATGGAAGGCTTCTTGGATGACTACAACATGTCTGACCTGCTGTATCACAGGCAGAGGGTGCTAAATGCAAAGATCTCACCACTGCAGGTTCACCAATTGAGCGGATTCCAAGAACGTGTGCGGTGCTTTGATACAGGGAGACTCCTTTGCCTCTCTCAAAGGCCTTTGAGACCAGAAATGGTTCAGACGCATTTCAAAGTCTATTTGATTTCTTCTGTATGCGCTCCTGAAAACGTCTTGCAGACAAAAAGAGAGAGAAAGAGAGTGGCCAAGAAAGTTTTTGTCCAGATCAGCAGTATGAGTGTTTCGGAATTCTTAGTACCAAGTTGCTCAAGGGCAGGAAGTGCACAATTCTGCTATCATGTGTTGTGAATCCACCAAAGCCACCCTTGTCCACTATGAAAAGTAGTGTTTGGCTCAAAACCCGGGTGAAAGTGCTCCTGTTTACCTTTGAAGGCCGGTGTTGAGCAAAGGCGACAAATCCACCAGAATCATTTTATTTTCCAAAAAATCTGCGGGCAAGTTGACTTTGTGCGTGTCCTGCTCGCCTACCACAGGTTATGGCTCGCTTTTGCCAGGCCTGATCTTTCCGCTGGCCAAATGGTCTGAGCAGGCAATACCTGTGCAATACATAATTGGGATGCCTTTTGCGCAGGTATTTGCACATCTTTATGCGGCAATTTATGCGTTCATCGCCTGGATGTTTGAAACGATTCGGTGCAGAGTTGACCCCAAGGAGGCTTGGGTTGGTGGATTGCTTTTTTTCCTTGAAGCAACGAGCCACGCAATCTTGGGGCGTCCAAAAGCTGTGTCAGGCTGAAACGGATGCTGCGGAGTGTGAGGCCGCGACTGAGGCCAGACAAATGGGGCTCTTCATGGTTGTGACGGGGTTTTCCTGCAACAATACATACTGTACTGTATAAAGTATCAAACTAAGAGTGAATAGGTGCAGGCTGGCCAACAAGAACGACAAACCCAGAATCGGTTTCATTGTTCAACAACATGCAACACGTATCCGCCAACATTGAACACAGGAACCAGCAAGAGACAACAACAACCAGCGAGGGAAATCACAAGAACCATCAACCAATCCGACAAGAGACCCAAAAACATAATCACACAGTCAAGACCAGTTGCATACAACATGATCAAGCATGCAGCAAAGTCAATTTATGTCAATTTGATCTTTTGACCGCCTTCCAGGATTTTTTGATGTCCATATCGTCGCCAGTGAGTCAGTTGGGTGAAGCAGCGGTGCTTCTCTAAACACCGTGGTGCAACCATGTTCAAGGAGCGCAGCCATGTCTGCAATCTCCGAACAAACGCCGTGGCTTGAAAAAGAAGCGGGGTGTTGCGATCAATGAACTGCAAGGTTTTTTGGCATGCGCAGGCACGCTTGATTGATTTGGAAACGGTTGACAGTTTCAGGGATTCTTCTAGTATTTTCAAGCCGGGCAGAGTCGTGGTTGTTATCCGTTTGTGTCAGCGTGGCTCAAGTGTGTCTAAGTGTGTTGCCCTGGCAATCCCTGGCAGCAAAATGACGGAGGTGCAATACGTAGGGTGGTTCTTCGAAGTGTTCCCCCTAGTTGGGGAGCGTGTGTGTGATCGGGTGCCGCAAGAGCACAGAGCTGCGAACTTACAGTATCATTTGAATCATTTGACAACTTGATGCAAGATTGTACCAGGGCATGCAATGTACTTAATGTATTAATAATGTATCTCCAGGTAGTGTTTCCAGGGTTTGGATGCGGCCTGTTTTGGATGTGTCTCATTTTTTGCTGAGGCAAGAGCCTTTTGGCAGCATGATGTTCCCCAGACGTTTGAGAATGTGCACCGGAAGGTGGATTATCGGATTGCAGCGAGTTGTAAGAACATGAAGGAATCGGGTCGAATGCATCGTAAGAATCGTTGATGTTTTTTTGCAAATTAGTGAGTTGAAGCTGTTGAAGCTGACGCAGGCGGCGCAACAAAGAGCTTGGGCCTGGCAATTCTGGGAGGTCTGTGTTCTCTTGTCTGTGAGATTTGGATTTTGGATTGGGCGGTCTGCAGGACCTTCAGGAGAGTTTTCTATGGTGTTGTCATCCATTGCTGGGAGATGAGCTTCAAGTTTGAGGTGTGGACCGCCGCTATTTTCTTGAAAGATCGCTGGGAAACTTTGAAACCAACAAGGAGAAAGGAGATCTAATATCCTAAATGATTTATTTTGTGTTTGTCTTAAAACACACATTCCATCTTTTTGAAACC